GGAATTTAACGTTTTAGAAGAAACATTGATTTCAACGTTTTAAATAAAATATTAATTATGACGTTTTAAATGACTTTTTAAAACGATGGGTTTGAAGTTAAAAATGACATTTCAATATTTTGAATGTATCCCTTTAGGGCACGTTCTAAAATTTCGAATATCCCGCTTTATGTCAATTTGAATTTATGGATTAATCGCTTTGAAATCTTGTTTTTGACATTTTAAATACCTTGTAATTTGACGTTTGAGGTTCGAAATGACATTTTGAATTTAACGATTTAGTTGAAACATAAATTTAAGGTTAAAAATGACATTTCAACATTTTTAATGTATTCTTTTAGGGCACGTTCTAAAATTTCGAATATGCCGCTTTATGTCAATTCGAAATTATGAATTAAACGTTTCAACCGTCATTTCGAAATGTTGCGTTCGACGTTTTAAATGATATCTTGGAATTTAACGTTTTAGAAGAAACATTGATTTCAACGTTTTAAATAAAATATTAATTATGACGTTTTAAATGACTTTTTAAAACGATGGGTTTGAAGTTAAAAATGACATTTCAATATTTTGAATGTATCCCTTTAGGGCACGTTCTAAAATTTCGAATATCCCGCTTTATGTCAATTTGAATTTATGATTAATCGCTTTGAAATCTTGTATTTGACATTTTAAATACCTTGGAATTTGACGTTTGAGGTTCGAAATGACATTTTAAATTTAACGTTTTAGTTCAAACAATTACAATTATTATCGTTCATATCATAATCATATGTTCTGTCTTCCCCTCATTAATTTCAAGTCCAGCTCTTCTTAATTTTTCCTCAAACTGTGCAAAGCTCTCCACTAAATCCCCTTCTATCCTTGCCAACAGATTAAATCATCAACATAGGCTAAACATAGGTGTTCTTAATCTTTCTTGCAACTCGCTCCAGGTTCAAATTAAAAAGTGCAATATCTCTTTGTCTTAAACAAATTATGGGTTGAGTTTTTAAGCTGATATCAAAAAGAACAAATTGAAATTAAACAAAAAATTAACTCGTTTCCAAAACCGTGTAAACTTGTGTCATTAAAACTATCCCAAAAATAGCAGATAATATCTTTTTTGCTAGCAGGTACTGATATGATACGATTTGCTTTATTAAATGGTACTAAATATTTTTTCCTATAACACTAAGTATTGCCTAATATGATATGTAATTAGAACAAGGATATGTAAATACATTTTCTTCTTTACGCATGTTTCACTAAATTCTAATTGTATTAGGTAAAACTTTTTGAGATAGCTTTAAGCAAGTGATATAGATTTTTTAAAATTTATATATATTTTTTTATATGATTGAAACATTCTGATTGTTATTATTTAAAATTTTTAATCCGAACAAATTCGTAATAAATTTATCAACTTTAGCGAAACGAAACAAAAAATGATTTCGTTTTTATCGTTACATCGTTAATATTTTTCTTTTGTTTTGGTATACGTGATTGTATTTTTACGATAATTGACTGTCCTTGTTGATGCAGTTTTTTTAAATTTCTCATTTATGCTTTGATTTCAATTTTATTAAAAAAACATCTCTCTCCACGTTTTTGTTTAACATCATTTGTTGTGTTTCCATTGTAATGTAGAAATATTTTGTGCTTTAACCAAGCTGGATAAAATAAATTTGTTTTTATAATTTCCTTTTTGGCAATTTGAATGAATACCATACTATAATTTATTTATTCTTTTTTTTTGATAAAATTGTTATATACAACAGTTTGAGTTATAGTTTTTTTTTTAAATAAACTAAATTCATATCGTTTTGTAACAGTACTTTAAAGTTTCTCTGTACGTTTAGAATCATTTAGAATCAAATTAATTTTCTTATTCGCGAAATTTTCCTTTTGAGAGTTCAATCTTTCGTCTTGTCACAACACTTTTATTGGGTTTAAATTGTTCTGGTACCCCATAAAAGTTTAGTTTACATTGGAACATGTGTGGGGTGTAAAAGTTTTGTGTCGTTTAGTTTACGGCTTTAGTTATGGGGTTCGTCGTAAAGTAACAACTACACCGTTTCCAAGTCATTTCAACTAATCAACGTCGCTTTATACCTTTAGTCCTTTTTTTTTCTATTCTAATTCATATCAAAGAGAAATCACAAAAAAATTATACTCAATTAGAATAGAGTGAATTTCACTTAAGATGCAATATACAAGAATATATTTCCATAGAAACCAGGGTTTACCTACTTACTTTGTTCCACATAAAATGCAACATGTCTGAATGTTTCTAGTTCTAAGTTTAATGTTAGTTAATGTTGCATATTTTTGATAGAACTAGAAATAGTCGGGTTTAGAATGTATCCCTTTAGGAAACGTTCTAAAATTTCGAATACGCCGTTTTACGTCAATTTGAAATTATGAATTAATCGCTTTGAAATCTTGTTTTTGACATTTTAAATACCTTGGAATTTGACGTTTGAGGTTCGAAATAACATTTTGAATGTAACGTTTTGCTTGAAATATTGATTTAAAGTTAAAAATGACATATCAATATTTTGAGCGTATCCCTTTCGGGCACGTTCTAAAATTTCGAATATGCCGCTTTATGTCAATTCGAAATTATGAATTAATCGCTACAAAATCATGTTTTTGACGTTTGAAATGATATCTTGGAATTTAACGGTTTAGATTCAACATTTTAAATAAAATTAAATAAATTAAAGTTAAAAATGAACATTTTGAATGTGTCCCTTTAGGCCACGTTCTAAATTTTCGAATATGCCACTTTACGTCAATTTGACATTATAAATTAATCGCTTCAAAATCTTGTCTTTGACGTTTTAAATACCTTAGAATTTGACGTTTGAGGTTCGAAATGATATTTTGAATTTAACGTTTTAGTTGAAACATTAATTTGAAGTTAAAAATAACATTTCAACATTTTGAATGTATCCCTTTAGGCGACGTTCTAAAATTTCGAATATGCCACTTTACATCAATTTGAAATTACGAATTAATCGCTTGAAATCATGTTTTTGACGTTTGAAATGATATCTTGGAATTTAACGTTTTAGATTCAACATTTTAAATAAAATTAAATAAATTAAAGTTAAAAATGAACATTTTGAATGTGTCCCTTTAGGCCACGTTCTAAATTTTCGAATATGCCACTTTACGTCAATTTGACATTATAAATTAATCGCTTCAAAATCTTGTCTTTGACGTTTTAAATACCTTAGAATTTGACGTTTGAGGTTCGAAATGATATTTTGAATTTAACGTTTTAGTTGAAACATTAATTTGAAGTTAAAAATAACATTTCAACATTTTGAAAGTATCCCTTTAGGCGACGTTCTAAAATTTCGAATATGCCGCTTTACGTCAATTTGAAATTATGAATTAATCGCTTTTAAATATTGTTTTTGACATTTTAAATACCTTGAAATTTGACGTTTGAGGTTCGAAATGACATTTTGAATTTAACGTTTTAGTTCAAACAATTTTAAAGTTAAAAATGACATTTCAACATTTTGAATGTATCCCTTTAGGGCACGTTCTAAAATTTCGAATATCCCGCTTTATGTCAATTTGAATTTATGGATTAATCGCTTTGAAATCTTGTTTTTGACATTTTAAATACCTTGTAATTTGACGTTTGAGGTTCGAAATGACATTTTGAATTTAACGATTTAGTTGAAACATAAATTTAAGGTTAAAAATGACATTTCAACATTTTTAATGTATTCTTTTAGGGCACGTTCTAAAATTTCGAATATGCCGCTTTATGTCAATTCGAAATTATGAATTAAACGTTTCAACCGTCATTTCGAAATGTTGCATCGACGTTTTAAATGATATCTTGGAATTTAACGTTTTAGAAGAAACATTGATTTCAACGTTTTAAATAAAATATTAATTATGACGTTTTAAATGACTTTTTAAAACGATGGGTTTGAAGTTAAAAATGACATTTCAATATTTTGAATGTATCCCTTTAGGGCACGTTCTAAAATTTCGAATATGTCGCTTTACGTCAATTTGAGATTATGAATTAATCGTAGAAATCTTGTTTTTGACATTTTAAATACCTTGGAATTTGACGTTTGAGGTTCGAAATGACATTTTGAATTTCACGATTTAGTTGAAACATAAATTTAAGGTTAAAAATGACATTTCAACATTTTTAATGTATTCTTTTAGGGCACGTTCTAAAATTTCGGATATGCCACTTTATGTCAATTCGAAATTATAAATTAAACGTTTCAACCGGCATTTCGAAATGTTGCGTTCGATTTTTTAAATGATATTGTGGAATTTAACGTTTTAGATCAAACATTGATTTCAACGTTTTAAATAAAATATTAATTATGACGTTTTAAAGAACTTTTTAAAATGATGGGTTTCAAGTTAAAAATGACATTTCAACATTTTGAATGTATCCCTTTAGGGCACGTTCTAAAATTTCGAATATGCCGCTTTACGTCAATTTGAAATTATGAATTAATCGCTTTGAAATCTTGTTTTTGACATTTTAAATACCTTGTAATTTGACGTTTGAGGTTCGAAATGACATTTTGAATTTAACGATTTAGTTGAAACATAAATTTAAGGTTAAAAATGACATTTCAACATTTTTAATGTATTCTTTTAGGGCACGTTCTAAAATTTCGAATATGCCGCTTTATGTCAATTCGAAATTATGAATTAAACGTTTCAACCGTCATTTCGAAATGTTGCGTTCGACGTTTTAAATGATATCGTGGAATTTAACGTTTTAGATGAAACATTGATTTCAACGTTTTAAATAAAATATTAATTATGACGTTTTAAATGACATTTGAACATTTTGAATGTATCCTTTTAGGGCACGTTCTAAAATTTCGAATATGCATGTACTATTAAGCTGTGTTGCATTTTATGTGGGACAGTTACATTCATATATTGCGAGTTATATGAAATTTCCAATGAATAAAATAAATAAAAATAGGGTGATATAGAAAAATATTAAACGCAAACAATCGTTATTAAATTTAATTAATAAAATATTCGTTTGCGTTTTTTTTTTTCAACTTATTTTAATTGTTAGCTTAATTTTCAAGTAAGTTCAGCACCACGGGTTCTGTTTTTCATAAAAAGCACGGAAAGTATATCGTAATCGTCCTTTTCGGACTCCTTTATATACAATTTTATAAATTCATTTTTTTTGTTTTAAGTTCCGAAAACTTTCTTTGTTCAAAGTTGCGAAGAAAATTGTCGGTAATCGCGTTACTTTTCGTCTCAACACCTATAACATATAATTTACATGCAACATAGAAAACAGTTACGTCGAAATTTTCTTCTCATCATTTTTTTATTCAATAAATTCTCCTTATTTTTATTGAAGACGGAGTATTTTTTTTCTTACTGGAGAATATAGAACGAGAGAAATATCAAAAAAGCCGACGAAGCTGTTTTCGCCGACCACGAACAGTTACTCTCCAATTCGGGGATATCATTTTGAGTTTGTTCGTTGGGCTTTTTCGGCGGCTCTACATTTTCAACGATAACTGTAACATAATTAACACATTCATAAATATTAAAATACGGAAATTGTTCACTTTTTCCCATTTTAATATTCATTAGATTATTTTATGCATCAATCGATGTCTATTGTGGTACTATTCGATCAATTTACCGATACTGACCTCTTATTGAATGTTCTCTCTTGTCCGCATATGTTTCATCATCGGTGATGTACCCAGGTATTGTTGACATGCAAGTTAATCGAAGTCCATTTTCACCAACATGCAAATCCGAGACTTCGATTGACAGCTGTTTAGTTGCTGATGCGATTTGGTCATAATAACCATGAATTTTGCCATTAAAATAACTTTTTGTTAAGTTTTCTGGTGCCTAAATAAACAAAAAGGAATTAGTCTTACAAAACAATTAGATATAAAAGCATCATATCTTTGAATATTTACACCATACATGTTTTAGATTGGAACTTCGAGTCTTAGAGGTAAAATTTAAGATATCGATTTGGATCAAATTGGATTTATTAAGTTCTGTTTGATTCTAAAATGTACTAAATGACTTATTGAATACATCACGCACCCATAATTCAATTTTGGCAATGGAATAAAAAAGTTATGCGTTTTTGAAAAAACGCAAAAACCCAACATCTACTTGCAGATACTGAATTATCAAAGTATTTGAAGTATTTTCCACAGTTTTTAACTAGAGATGAATTTAGAATTAAAAAATAAAACGAAGAACATATTTTTAAGAGTTTAAACAACGATATATATCTTAAATTAAAGCTAAGGGAATGGTGGAACAGGAAATTACGTGACGTAACTTTTAAGATGTGGAGAAAAATCGACCGGAGGAAATCGCTGAAGTTGTAGCCGAAGGAAACGTGACAGGATCCATCGGTTTTTGTTGAAGGCTTCTTCCGGAGGGCACGTGTTCGCGACTGCGAAAGTCAGTTTATGGACCATGAATGGGTGGAGACGAGGTCTTGTTTACAAACCTTATCTCAACACCACGGAGTTTAGCACGCGTGCGGACCTCGAAGCGATCTTTTTAAATAATTTATAAGGATGTGAAAAGAAAAAAATCAATGTATGTACACGTTGATAAATTATAAAAGTTGAAATAAGGGTGAATTAATAGTGAAAATTTGTACGTTTTATACTCGAGGGGACAATTTACGGTTTGCCGCTCGATCGACTAGATTTATCAATTGATAATGGGTAGCTGCCGTGCATTGCCCGGAAAACGTTAAAACTGATAAATGGCAAATCTAACTTTTACCGCCCGGAAGGAAAATTTATCGACTCGCGCGAGATATATGGGTTCGGATACAGACCGTCCTCGCAACTTGGGAATAATTGAGCCCATAATTTCTCAAAGGAAATCCCTCTTCGCCGTCGTCTCTTTTTACAGAGATACTAAGAAAGCTTCATTTTTATCACAATCTGCAATATATACAGTGATTACCTTCGAAATTGCTAGTTTCTAACTTGGATACGAGTGTTGAAAGTTGTTATTTGCATTCACTCTGCTGACTTTCATAAAAACTAATGAGTGAAATTTTTTTTCAACCACTGATAGCTAAACACAAACAACTCTTTGTTTAAACGTAACGGATGTTAACTAAAAACCTGTGGGTAGCACACGAAAAAAGTTTATTAAGTATTTCACTTCTATAAAGTATTAATTTTAATCAATTTATTAATTTTATGCATAATGACGACAATTAACAATTTATATTGTTGTAATCATTATTTCTTTCCATTTTATTTTTAAATAAAATAAAATACTTTTTCTGTTTGTACTTTTATTAAAAATGGATTTATAGTTTTAAATTCTACCGGTTTCGGTTTATTTACAAAACCATCTTCAGGAACCTTCGAATCTCGTTCTAGTAAACGTTTTTATTTAAATGAATCTGTGTCTTTATTTTTAGGTGTAATGTGTGTTATGCTTAAACTTTCGGACAGGATTAGGTGTGCACGTGTTCATCTTTTCTGGACCATTTCTGAAGCCGGTAGAATTTAAAACAATAAATCCATTTTTAATAAAAGTACAAACAGAAAAAGTATTTTACTTTAATTAACAATTTGACACAAATGGTTGTTTACATATATCAATTAAAAGCATGACAATCAATAACAATGTCAAAAGTTGCTGTCGTTGCGACATGAAATAAGATTAAGAAAAAAATTTTTTTCTCCAATACAGTTTGAAATTAAGAAATGAAACTTTTTGAGGTTATAAAAGAATGTTTGAGGTTAGGTTATAGCAAATTTAAAGATTCCAGGTTGAACGGTTTTTTTTATAAACATTTGTAAAGTTCATCCATTTCAATTTGATGTTTTTGGACAATAAAATTAGGACAAATTTTTTTCTCCAATACAGTTTGAAATTAAGAAATGAAACTTTTTGAGGTTATAAAAGAATGTTTGAGGTTAGGTTATACCAAATTTAAAGTTTCTAGATTGTACGGTTTTTTTTATAAACCTTAGTAAAGTTCATCCATTTCAATTTGACGTTTCTGGGCAATAAGATTAAGAAAAAAAAATGTTTTCTCCAATACAGTTTGAAATTAAGAAATGAAACTTTTTGAGGTTATAAAAGAGTGTTTGAGGTTATGTTATACCAAATTTAAAGTTTCTAGATTGTACGGTTTTTTTTATAAACCTTAGTAAAGTTCATCCGTTTCAATTTGACGTTTCTGGACAATAAGATAAAGAAAAAATTTTTTTTCTCCAATACAGTTTCAAATTAAGAAATGAAACTTTTTGAGGTTATAAAAGAATGTTTGAGGTTAGGTTATACCAAATTTAAAGTTTCTAGGTTGTACGTTTTTTTTATAAACATTTGTGAAGTTCATCCATTTCAATTTGACGTTTCTGCACAATAAGATTAAGAAAAATTTTTTTTTCTCCAATACAGTTTGAAATTAAGAAATGAAACTTTTTGAGGTTATAAAAGAATGTTTGAGGTTAGGTTATACCAAATTTAAAGTTTCTAGGTTGTACGGTTTTTTTTATAAACATTTGTAAAGTTCATCCATTTTAATTTGTTGTTTTTGGACAATAAGATTAAGAAAAAATCTTTTTTCTCCAATACAGTTTGAAATTAAGGAATGAAACTTTTTGAGGTTATAAAAGAATGTTTGAGGTTAGCTTATACCAAATTTAAAGTTTCTAGGTTGTACGGTTTTTTTATAAACATTTGTAAAGTTCATCCATTTCAATTTGACGTTTCTGGACAATAAGATTAAGAAAAAATTTTTTTCTCCAATACAATTTGAAATTAAGAAATGAAACTTTTTGAGGTTATAAAAGAATGTTTGAGGTTAGGTTATAGCAAATTTAAAGATACCAGGTTGAACGGTTTTTTTTATAAACATTTGTAAAGTTCATCCATTTTAATTTGACGTTTCTGGACAATAAGATTAAGAAAAATTTTTTTTTCTCTAATACAGTTTGAAATTAAGAAATGAAACTTTTTGAGGTTATAAAAGAATGTTTGAGGTTAGGTTATACCAAATTTAAAGTTTCTAGGTTGTACGGTTTTTTTTATAAAAATTTTTAAAGTTCATCGAATTCAATTTGACGTTTCTGGACAATAAGATTAAGAAAAAATCTTTTTTCTCCAATACAGTTTGAAATTAAGAAATGAAACTTTTTGAGGTTATAAAAGAATGTTTGAGGTTAGCTTATACCAAATTTAAAGTTTCTAGCTTGTACGGTTTTTTTATAAACATTTGTAAAGTTCATCCATTTCAATTTGACGTTTCTGGACAATAAGATTAAGAAAAAGTCTTTTTTCTCCAATACAATTTGAAATTAAGAAATGAAACTTTTTGAGGTTATAAAAGAATGTTTGAGGTTAGGTTATACCAAATTTAAAGATTCCAGATTGTACGTTTTTCCAGTTGGAAACGTCAACGTCAATTTTGACATATTTGTCATCTTCATTAAAAAACCTTTAAAATGAGTCCAAACACGACTCACTTATCTCAAAAAACAAAAAAGTTAGAATAAAAAACAATAAACCCGAAGTTAGCAACCATGAAGATAGCAATTTAATTTTTAAATATTAATACCAACCTTAATTTTTTATTTTTTTTTATTATATTTTTGTTTTTTAACAAATATTAATCATTTTATAAAAATTAAGAATATGTCAAAATGACATTGACATTTCAAACCGGAAGTTGCTTATATTTCGAGTAATATTGGGATTAAACGTATCGTGTTTGGACTCATTTTGAAGGATTTTTCACGACGATTACAAATATGTCAAAATTGACGTTGACATTCTTAACCGGAAGTTGACCATAACTTCTTTAATATTGAAGATAAATATGTCGTGTTTGTACTCATTTTAAAGGATTTTTAATGAACATTACAAATATGTCAAAATTGAGGTTGACATTTTAACCTGAAGTTAGTTATCATAATAGAGTTTTATAACTGAAGTTAATTTAGTGTTAGTCACTTTCTTTTTATTTTTAACGTGTTTTTTTGGGTCATTTCCCAAGTTTGTTAATGTTTCTCTCAACTTTTCCGAAATATAACCGGCAATTACCATTTATATGCAGATGACTCTCAAATATGTCATACTTTCAGTCCCAAAGGTACTTCAAGCATAGTTGGTGGTCAATGATGACCTACGTATAATTACGGATACTGCCTTTAAGCTTTGCTTAAACCTTAATCCTAGCAAATCACAAATTTTGTTGTTCGGGCCTAGTGGCAGGAGAGAGGTAATCATATATGGGGTTAGGAAGTGCGAAGTTGATAATCGCTTGAAATTCAAGATGGCAAAATTTAGATTAAAAATTTATTTGTAGCATGAATCATAGTATTCATCAAACCATTTCATTTGATACCTCACTCATAAATGCTCAATTCATGACATAAATGGCAGAACTACAGCTTGGGGCTTTTTTTTATCCTATATATAAGATCCTTTTTATCTAAATTCTATACAAATCGTTCCCTCTCGTTTTAATTCAATAAAGTACCTATTCGTACGAACGTTTCGTTAACACGATTCGATTTTACCTTCATTTCGTTGATGTACCACGTGATATNAGGTTGTACGGTTTTTTTTATAAAAATTTTTAAACTTCATCCATTTCAATTTGACGTTTCTGGACAATAAGATTAAGAAAAAATCTTTTTTCTCCAATACAGTTTGAAATTAAGAAATGAAACTTTTTGAGGTTATAAAAGAATGTTTGAGGTTAGGTTATTGCAAATTTAAAGTTTTTAGATTGTACGTTTTTCCAGTTCGAAACGTCAACATTAATTTTGACATATTTGTCATCTTCATTAAAAAACCTCTAAAATGAGTCTAAACATGACGTATTTATCTCAAAAAACAAAAAAGTTTTAATAAAAAACATTAAACCCGAAGTTGGCAACAATGAAGATAGTAATTTAATTTTTAAATATTAATACCAACCTTAATTTTTTATTTCTTTTTTATTATATTTTTGTTTTTGTGGCAAATATTAATCATTTCATAAAAATTAAGAATTTATCAAAATGACATTGACATTTCAAACCGGAAGTTGCTTATATCTCGATTAATATTGAAGATAAATATGTCGTGTTTGTACTCATTTTAAAGGATTTTTAATGAAGATTACAAATATGTCAAATTTGAGGTTGACTTTTTAAACCTGAAGTTAGTTATCATGTAATAGAGTTTTATAACTGAAGTTGTTTGTTAATGTTTCTTTCAACTTTTCCGGAATATAACCGGCAATTACCATTTATATGCAGATGACTCTCAAATATATCATACTTTCAGTCCTAAAGATACTTCAAGCATAGTATTGCAAATAACCTCCATGGTAAAATCTCCATTAACAATACAGTGCTCGCAAATCCTGCTCTGCGATTTGATGCTCACGTCAGCGGTCTGATTAGGAAGTCTGTGGGAGGACTCAAAGCGCTGTATCTTGCTGCTATGGATCCTGCAGCATTAATATTATCAAATTTTAACTTTTGCTGTGTACTTTATGGACCTTGCTTGACTGTAGCAACATCGAGGAGTGTTTAGTTAATTCAAAACTCATGTCTGCGATACATATATGGGGTTAGGAAGTACGATAGGATCTCACATACCGTAACTAACTGGTTGAATACGAAAAACTACGAGCAATTTGACAATCAATTTGATAATCGCTTGAAATTGAAGTATTCATTTGATACCTCGCTCATATGACATAAATGACAGAACTACAGCTTGGGGCGTTTTTTATCCTGAATATAAGATCTTTTTTATCTAAATTCTATACAAATTGTTCCCTCTCGTTTTAATTCAATAAAGTACCTATTCGTACGAACGTTTCGTTAACACGATTCGATTTTACCTTCATTTCGTTGATGTACCACGTGATATGAGCTGGCGGTCTTGAAGGGGCGCTCGTGCAATTCACTTCCAACGTGTCTCCCACTTCGTATCTGTCCTTTGTAAAAGTTATATTTGGGTTATCAGCTTGTGGTTCTAAAAATATAAATTAAATAAATACAACAAAAAATATTTTTTAAGATCGTTACTACATCAAAATGTTCGCCATCAAGGTAAATTACCAAGTTGTCGCCTTAGGGGTGGTACAGATAAGGAGACGAGGTCGCAAAAGGTATGTTATGTACGCCTCAGGCGGCGGTTTGTCGATAACGACACTTCCGGCGTTGAAGCACCAGGAAGAGACGCACAAGGAAGAAAATCAAGTTATCTCTTTGGAGGTAGATAAGAGCGGACGGCCTCTATGTGTTTATATTCTAGGACATGAGTGAAAATACCTTCTGGCTGTGTGCCACGCGAAATTGATTTTACATAGTAAAAACAATTTTTATATCCAATTTGATTCTCTTTGTCGAAATATTCCCTTTTAGAGTAATCTCCCGACTAACAAAACGAAGAGTGTTTGAGGAGGCAATTAATCTGGCAAAGTGCAGGACAACGAGCGTTCCTTTCACGCGTAAAAACCCCGTTGAAAACTTTGCTGAACTTTGGAGTTCTCAGTATACGTGAGACTCATAATCCGCCACCATCTACCAGTTGATTTATTAAAGCGCTCTGCACGGCGACATCTACCGGTTTTAGAAACGACACCGTCTACTCCGGTTTCTTACGACTGAACAACTTCTGCAACGTTCTAACGTAAAGCGTAAAGATAATTCCTAGTAGATTGGGATGGTGGAATGCAGATGTGTATAATTGCAACTTGAGAAAACTTAATTGGAAATGTAACCAGCTGTGGCCGTGGATAAAGTGCAGCTTTATTTATGAATATAACTTACCTATAATTGTAAGAACATGCCTTTCGGAATCTTTGCTGAAAATTGGCGTTTCCATAGATACAATGCAAGAGTATGATCCTGATGCGCTAAAATTTAAATTGGACAGTTGTAGTTGCTTGTCATTGCTGCCGGTTCGCTGAAACCAATAAGAAAAAATTCTTTAAAAACTTGTTGTCTCACAAATTACGTAATGCTTACATTACACGGATATTGTCCGGTTGAAATAAAGTGGCCAAAGTTTTGTTTGCAAAATTACGCAAAGCGACGAGATTTTTGATAGATAATGAACGCCACTCCAATATCCATGCAACGTTTTCAGTACGAAATAGAAAAAAAAAATGGGAAAACCGACCACTGCAAAGGGATTAAAAACAAAATTTTCCTAGTTTTTTTACATCAAGTTTTTATTCCTCCTTTTAATGATGATATAAAGTTAATTATTTCCTAATCATAAGTAATTAAACCGAGGCAAAGGATTGATACGAAATCGATACAAAACCTAAATACGTTTCAGAAATGCGTGGATCAATTAAGGCGAGGTCGTTTGTGGCCGAGACGCTACATTGATACGATGTTGCATATAAAAACGATTTCAGAAATAATTAAGCCGAGGTCGCTTGCGGCCGAGGCAGAATAATGATATTAAATCGACACGAAACCTAAATACGTTTCAGAGATACGTGGTTTAATTAAGCCGAGACCGTTTGCGGCCGAGGCGCTACATTGATACGATATCGCATATAAAAACTAGCCAGATTTTAACGATTTCAGAAGTAATTAAGCCGAGGTCGCTTGCGGCCGAGGCAGAATAATGATATTAAATCGACACGAAACCTAAATACGTTTCAGAGATACGTGGTTTAATTAAGCCGAGGTCGCTTGCGGCCGAGGCGTTACATTGATACGATATCGCATATAAAAACTAGCCAGATTTTAACGATTTCAGAAGTAATTAAGCCGAGGTCGCTTGCGGCCGAGGCAAAGGATTGATACGAAATCGATACAAAACCTAAATATATTTCAGAAATGCATGGATCAATTAAGCCGAGGTCTCTTGTGGCCGAGGCGCTACATTGATACGATATTGCATATAAAAACTAGCCAGATTTTAACGATTCCACAAGTAATTAAGCCGAGGTCGCTTGCGGCCGAGGCGTTACATTGATACGATATCGCATATAAAAACTAGCCAGATTTTAACGATTTCAGAAGTAATTACGCCGAGGTCGCTTGCGGCCGAGGCAAAGGATTGATGCGAAATCGATACAAAACCTAAATACGTTTGAGAAATGCGTGGATCAATTAAGCCAAGGTCGTTTGTGGCCTAGGCGCTACATTGATACGATATCGCATATAAAAACTAGCCAGATTTTAACGATTTCAGAAGTAATTAAGCCGAGGTTGTTTGCGGCCGAGGCGCTACATTGATACGACATTGCAAATAAAAGCTAACTAGATTTCAACGATTTCAGGAGTAATTAAGCCGAGGTCGCTTGCGGCCGAGGCAATGATTAAAGAGTAAACAAGATGTGACGCTTCGTGCCGGCACTTTTGATGTATGATTGCCATTTTTTGTGACCTTGAACGCTATGGACCTTTAAATTGGCATGGTTTGTTATTGGTAGAACATTTAAATTGGAATGTCTTCTATCTCTTTCAAAACTAGAGTTTCTCCTTCTAGCATCGCAGCTTGTTTAGGTTAAAATATACTATGAATATATCAACTGTCGCATTTGTAGGTTGTTATTGTGAGGACATATACATTGAAATGTCTTCTATCTCTTTTCAAAACTAGAGTTTCTCCTTCTAGCGTCGCAGCTTATTTAGGTTAGAATATACTATGAATATACCGACTGTCACATTTGTAGGTTGTTATTGTAAGGACATTTAAAGTGAAATGTCTTCTATCTTTTTTCAAAACTAGAGTTTCTCACTCTAGCGTCGCATCTTATTACTTACTCTTTACTCTTTCGCCGAGGCGTTTTATTAATACGATATCGTATATAAAAACTAACCAGATTTGAACGATTCTAGAAGCAATTAAACCAAGGTCGCTTGCTTCCGAGGCAGACTGTTGATATCAAATCGATTCAAAACCTGAATATGTTTCAAAGATACGTTGTTTAATTAAACCGAGGTCGCTTGCGTCCGAGGCGCTACATTGATATGATATTGCATATAAAAACTAACCAGATTTCAACGATTTCAGAAGTAATTAAACCGAGGTCGCTTGCGGCCGAGGCAGAACATGGATACCATATCAAATACAAAAACTGCCTAGTTTTGAACGACATCAAAAGAAATTAAGCCGAGGTCGCTTGCGGCCGAGGCAGAATATCGATACCATATGACATACAAAAAGGAACCAGTTTTGAACGATATTAAAAGTAGTTAAGCCGAGGTCGCTTGCGGCCGAGGCACTACATTAATGTCATTGATACCATATCAAATACAAAAACTGTATGAAGAGTAACGTTTCAGAGATACGTAGTTTAATTAAGTCGAGACCGCTTGCGGCCGAGGCGCTACATTGATACGATATTGCATATAAAAACTAACCAGATTTTAACGATTTTAAAAGTTAAAGCCGAGGTCGCTTGCGGCCGAGGCAGAGTATTGATACCAAATTGACACTAAACCTGAATACGTTTTAGAAATGCGTGAATGTCAAGGTCACTTGCTTCCGAGGCGCTATAAAGGGTGGTTCAGTTTTTAATCGGGACAAGTTTTTTATATAAACATAGGGTTGAGCTAAAAATTTACAAGTTATTTTTTATTTCGGCTATCATTAATTACTGATTAATACTTTATTTTCAAGCATACTTTAAACTTCCCTAGCGCCTAAGAGGATGAAATTTACCACCTCCTTGATTTTTTTTAAAAGAACTTTTTACCGTTATGAAATTTTACGTTAAAAAAATATGGATTGTAGTAAAGCTCATTCTTCAGTGGTACTTTTTTGTCTCTTTAGTATTTTCCTTAACGTTAATAGTTTCATGTTGAGCTAATATTATTCTAAAAGTTGGCTCTGAGAACTTGTAAGTTGCATTTACAGTGAATTCTCATAATTGTTGATGATTATTAATAAGTTTTGACAAGAGTACCAATTTTTTAAAATTGTTTAAAACAACGTAATTTGTTAGATAGTCATCTTATTTATAGTTTTTCTTATGAAAATCAATAGGTGCACAACTTCCATAGCCAGCTATAAAGAAAAAAATTTTTTTTTATAAATATTTTATTTTTTTACATTAATACTATTATCTTTAAGGAAAAAACTAAAGAGACAAAAAGGTACTAACAATGAACAAGCTTACAACCCATATTTTTTTGTGTTAATATTTCATGGCGTTAAAAAGTTGTTATAAGGAAGGGAAGTTTAAGGTATGGTTGAAAATAAGGTAAACTGAACCACCCTGTATCATTAAGAGTAATTAAGCTCCCTTTCCCATATTAGTCCGTTATATCGAGATGTAGTTTTATATTTCCAAGAAACTTCTAAATCAAGATTACATCGAGATCTAATCTATGATGAAGCTATTTAGAGCGAAACGTGATAAAAGTCGGCTTGGTAGAGTTCTAGATTGCCATTCATTGTTTTTATGGGACATCGTAAAGGTTTCTTCTGATTACTCTAAATTTATTGTTACAACGTACGAGGGGGTACATTTCAATTTTTTTTTCCTTTTACATAATCAAATCGAGAAGGATGCCGAAGATAGGGATGTCGATTCTATTCAATTTCCTTAAGGCAAAGGTTGATAGAAATCCAAGTTTTCACATTTACGTCAGTTGAAACAGATTGAGAAAGGTATCGGAAAAGAACGCGAAACGCTAGAGACGGGGAGGTTGCAAACGCAATTTACCGTGTTATTCTGTAAATAAGGGTGCTGACCTTGCAGAAACCCGGATTCCGGGTAAACAATCGAAAGCAGGGCCCTTTACCCAATTAGGACATGACGTATCGTCCCCGTTCCCTTCACCGAAAAGAAGTTGCAGATTCCTCCACGTTGGACCCCCATCTTTATCCCCAACGCCAATCAGCCTGTCTTTTCCACTTGCCCTTATTTCTTTTATTTAGTTTTAGACGGCACTTCCAGATGGTGTCTTCAATATCTTTGTTTCTTTCAAATTATCTCTCGTACAACGTAGTTATTTAAAAAGGAAATCAATTTACCGTAAAGGTTTCGTGACGGAAATGAGAAGATAAATAATACGAGCTCCTCCAACCTAGTAGATATCCGCATATCGCTACACCCATAAATTGGGAACTAAACGTAACTTACTTCCTGCATTTCTCACTCTAAATTCTCTCTTTATTGATTAAAATCTTAACTCGCTTAAATGAATAAAGATATTTGGGCGTAAAACTTATTTTACTACGGAGATATCGATTTGCTCAAAAATACTACTCGGACCACATCCTGAATAATTCAAATATTTCCGGTATATTCCAGTCTGCTGTGGGTTTTACTCCTGAGGGACGTGTTTGCTCTAAATCAAAGTCAGAAAGGCCGCAGCCGGATTACGGCAAAGACGAGAGATGCCCCCGCGAACACAGTCACGTCAAATTAGCTACAAAGATCTTCGCGAAAGCTACGACCAACGTCTACGAAATTCATATTCATGAGAAGGCTAAGTGCGAAAAAGCGTGCCTAGCACAAACAAACAACCTTCGAATGGACTATTTCAGATTAGAGAGAATTTTCCACTAGCCACGAAAGTTTCTAAACAAACTGAAAAGCCGCACTTTATGTTGTGCTTTACGATTCTTTATTTAACGTTTATTGCTTACGAATATAGAGTAGCGATTTTAAAATTAATTTCGTTGTTTGAATTTGGGGTAATAAAAACGAAGGAAAATATCGGAGTATTTTCGCAAAACCATAACCGTATTTTCTGACGTGGAGAGCCGATGGTTTTTGTTGCTTTTATTGGATCGATTATTAAATTACCTTTGGAGTTTCCGGACGGTTCCGGCGCCCCCACACGAAAACGAGGAACGAATTATTTCGGCGTGAAATATTCTCCCAGAACTGAAAAGGAAAAGCTCCCCAATGTCATATTCAGATAAATTTGAAATGCATACGGAAATAAATTTCTGTATTTCGATGATGACAGCTTATGTATGTACTAAAGAATGTTAATAAATATAAATTTTAATTACATAAAACTGACATAAAATTTGTAAATTTGCTTGGAAAAGACTAAATACTGCTGGCAGAAGACTAAATACTGCCAAAAGAAGATTAGATACTGTTAATAGAAGACTGGGTATTGTTTGTAGAAGACTGCTCCATCGAAAATTGAAATTCTCAGTGTAGATCATTTTATACTGCTTAAAAGTTGCTTGCAGAAGACTGAATATTGCTTGCAGGCCGCTAGATACTATGTATTAGGTACTGGTAATGGAAGAAAACTGCTTGAAGAAGACTAAATACTGCTGACAGATGATTAAATAGTCTTAATAAAAGACTAAATGCTATCAACAGAAGACTAGGTATTGTTTGCAGAATACTGCTTACAGACGCCTTGATTCTGCTTGCAGAATGCTCGATACTATATACTAGATACTGGTAATGGAAGAAAACTAGATGTTGGTAATAAAAGACTACATAGCGATAATAGAACACTAAATACTACTTGGAGAAGACTAAATATTGCTGACAGATGATTAAATAGTCCCAATAGAAGGCTAGATGTTATCAACAGAAGACTAGGTATTGTTTGCAGAAGACTATTTCATCGAAAATCGAAATTCTCATTGCAAATCAATTTATACTGATAAAAGGTTGCTAGCAAAAGAGTGAATATTGCTTGCAGACACCTTAATTTTGCTTGCAGAACGCTCGATACTATGTACTAGATACTGGTATTGGAAGAAGACTAGATATTGGTAATAAAAGACTACATAGCGACAATAGAACACTAAATACTGCTTGGAGAAGACTAAATACTGCTGACAGATGATTAAATAGTCCCAATAGAAGACTAAATGCTATCAAGAGAAGACTAGGTATTGTTTGCAGAAGACTATTACATCGAAAATCGAAATTCTCATTGCAAATCAATTTATACTGCTTAAAAATTGCTTGCAAAAGAGTGAATACTGCTTGCAGACACTTTGATTTTACTTGCAGAACGCTCGATACTATGTACTAGATACTGGTATTGGAAGAAGAATAGATATTGGTAATAAAAGACTACATAGCGACAATAGAACACTAAATACTGCTTGGAGAAGACTAAATACTGCTGACAGATGATTAAATAGTCCCAATAGAAGACTAAATGCTATCAACAGAAGACTAGGTATTGTTTGCAGAAGACTATTACATCGAAAATCGAAATTCTCATTGCAAATCAATTTATACTGCTTAAAAATTGCTTGCAAAAGAGTGAATATTGCTTGCAGACACTTTGATTTTGCTTGCAGAACGCTCGATACTATGTACTAGATACTGGTAATTGAAGAAGACTAGATATTGCTAATAAAAGACTACATAGCGATAATAGAACACTAAGTACTGCTTGGAGAAGACTAAATACTGCTGACAGATGATTAAAAAGTCTCAATAGAAGGTTAGATGCTATCAACAGAAGACTAGGTATTGTTTGCAGAAGACTATTTCATCGAAAATCGAAATTTTCATTAAAAATCAATTTATACTGCTTAAAGGTTGCTAGCAAAAGAGTGAATACTGCTTGGAGATACCTTGATTCTGCTTGCAGAAGGCTCGATACTATGTACTAGATACTGGTAATGGAAGAAGACTAGATATTGGCAATAAAAGACAACATTGCGATAATAGAACACTAAATACTGCTGACAGATGATTAAATAGTCCCAATAAAGGCTAGATGCTATCAACAGAAGACTAGGTATTGTTTGCAGAAGACTATTTTATCGAAAATCGAAATTCTCATTGCAAATCAATTCATACTGCTCAAAGGGTGCTTGCAAAAGAGTAAATACTTCTTGTAGGTCTAGTGTTAGTTCTAGTTTTATATCATTAGAAGTAACACTAGACCTAGAACTAGAAACATTCGGGTTTAGCCGTCTTAAGAGACGTACGGCTAAACCCGAATGATTCTAGATCTAGTTTTAGTTCTAGTTCTCGGTTTAGTGTTAGTTCTAGTGGTATTGGTAGGTAGCGCTAGTTAGCATAAGATATTACTATGTTGTATATTTTTATTGAACTAAAACTAGAAACATTCGGGTTTAGTCGTGAAAAAAACTTTCAGTTGTAAAACTTAAACTTTAACTTTAATTTTATTATTACATTCGTAATCTTTATAAAATAACCTTTAAAGTGAGTCCAAACTTGACGTATTGATCTCAAGAAACCAAAAAGTTCGAACTTTCAACTTTTAATTTTGACATATTTGTCAACTTCATAAAAAATCCTTTAAAATGAGTCCAAACTCGACATATTTAACTTTAATATTAATGGAGATACAATCACTTCCGGTTTGAAACGTCAACGTCAATTTTGACATATTTGTCATCTTCATTAAACAACCTTTAAAATGAATCCAAAGATGACGTATTTATCTCAAAAAACAAAAAAGTTAGAACAAAAAATCTTAAACGCGAAGTTGGCAACAATGAAGGTAGCCATTTAATTTTTAAATATTAATACCAACCTTAATTTTTTATTTTTTTTTATTATATTTTTGTTTTTGTGACAAATATTAAGACATTTTATAAAAATTAAGAATATGTCAAAATGACATTGACATTTCAAACCGGAAGTTGCTTATATCTCGAGTAATATTGGAATTAAACGTATCATGTTTGGACTCATTTTAAAGGATTTTTCACGACGATTACAAATATGTCAAAATTGACGTTGACATTCTTAACCGGAAGTTGACCATAACTTCATTAATATTGAAGATAAATATGTCGTGTTTGTACTCATTTTAAAGGATTTTTAATGAAGATTACAAATATGTCAAAATTGAGGTTGACATTTTAAACCTGAAGTTAGTTATCATATAATAGAAGTTTTATAATTGACGTTAATCTAGTGTTTAGTCGTGAAAAAAACTTTCAGTTGTCAATGTCAACTTTAATTTTATTATTATATTCGTAATCTTCATAAAATAACCTTTAAAGTGAGTCCAAACTTGACGCATTTATCTCAAAAAACCAAAAAGTTCGAACTTTCAACTTTTAATTTTGACATATTTGTCAACTTCATAAAAAATCCTTTAAAATGAGTCCAAACTCGACATATTTAACTTTAATATTAATGGAAATACAATCACTTCCGGTTTGAAACGTCAACGTCAATTTTGACATATTTGTCATCTTCATTAAAAAACCTTTAAAATGAGTCCAAACATGACGCATTTATCTCAAAAAACCAAAAAGTTCGAACTTTCAACTTTTAATTTTGACATATTTGTCAACTTCATAAAAAATCCTTTAAAATGAGTCCAAACTCGACATATTTAACTTTAATATTAATGGAAATACAATCACTTCCGGTTTGAAACGTCAACGTCAATTTTGACATATTTGTCATCTTCATTAAAAAACCTTTAAAATGAGTCCAAAGATGACGCACTTATCTCAAAAAACAAAAAAGTTAGAATAAAAAACATTAAACCCGAAGTTGGCAACAATGAAGATGGCAATTTAATTTTTAAATATTAGTACCAACCTTAATTTTAGATTTTTTTTTATTATATTTTTGTTTTTGTGACAAATATTAAGACATTTTATAAAAATTAAGAATATGTCAAAATGACATTGACATTTCAAACCGGAAGTTGCTTATATCTCGAGTAATATTGGAATTAAACGTATCATGTTTGGACTCATTTTAAAGGATTTTTCACGACGATTACAAATATGTCAAAATTGATGTTGACATTCTTAACCGGAAGTTGACCATAACTTCATTAATATTGAAGATAAATATGTCGTGTTTGTGCTCATTTTAAAGGATTTTTAATGAAGATTACAAATATGTCACAATAGAGGTTGACATTCTAAATCTGAAATTAATTATCATACAGTGTGTCCGTAAAGTAGCGGATATAGGCAATAAAATCATTATAAACGATTTATGGAGATAATAAGATTTAAATTTTTTGCAATTTTGGAAGAAATGGCAATCTTCCATTTTTATTACGGAATATGAAAAAATATGTTTTTCTGAATCTAGTACACTCAATATTAATATTGGTTACATAAAAAAATTTTCGAGAAATATTACTGAGAATATTACAGGATACTGAGTTCTGAAGACTAACCGTCTTAAGAGACGTACGGCTAAACCCGATTGCTTCTAGTTCTAGGTCTAGTGTTATATCTAATTTTATATCATTAAAATTAATAATTAACTGTGCATCATCATGCGTTATATCCGAAGTTTTACTGTATTTTAAAATACACATAACTTTTTATCTTGAAACACCGCGTAATTTACGACGTTATAGTACCTCTCGTGCGATATTTCTTAAGAAAACTACCCACACTAAAAATTAATATCCTCAAAAATTTATACTCTTTTATGCAAAACTTTGAATTAAATACTTACGTTAACCGTAGCCCCAGAAAGTGCATCGGGAAACTTCCTAAACGGCGGAATCCTCCCTTTAACATATTGGAAAATCTTCTTTTCAGCTTTATGCCATTCCACTTTATGTAGTTGCTCGTTAGAGACGGTGTGATCACACCTCAAAATCACATCTCCTCCTCTAATAGCATATTTGGGCATCAATAGTTCCAACCTATCAATGTTCGCAGAAACTCCTAAAACAAAGAAAATCGTTAAAAACAAATCTAATCAAATAGTAAAAAAAAATCACCAATTTACTCTTGTTCTCGATAATAAAACAACGTTCGATCAACGCCAACAAGATCAGACAGGCGCATACTTCATAACGTCACGAAAATCAATTTTTGACACACGAACGTATCATAAATTGAACCCGAAATCACGACGACGCGTTACACGGCCCACTTGATTGATCTGGGGCATTATTAATTAAAGCCAACAGCATCCAAAGTGCTCATTTATGCCATCGTCCAAAAGATAAATGGCCCCTCGTTACGGTGGTGACAAGCTTTGCTATCGCCATAACGTGATGGTTCCATATATCGGTTTTGGGGCGAGCAACGTTGAAGAACTACTAATGGGCCGCAGTTGAGTTCTTGCAACCTCGCCGACGTAACTTGTAATAATTAATGTGGTTCTACCCTAATTACTAATTGATTTATCGTCGATCTTTACCTTCAATCTTAGTTTTCGATGCTCTAATAGAACTTTCTGTGTGGGAGTTATTTACCACTTAGTTATGGAGAGGTATTTTGATTTATAAATCCTATGTCTTAATACTGCTTTGAGCGTTTAAAAAAACAGCGTTACAAAGCAAACCATAAAGGCAACAAACAACATTTAACAATCGCAAACAATGCCAGATTATACAACGTATGCTATCCGTAATACTTTAATGGATTGTAAGAGAAACACAGAAATTAGAGAAAAAGGTAACATCACCAGATAGATCTGGCAGAAACGAGAATGGAATGAACATGTATCAAGAATGGATCAGCCAAAATGTACAAAATATATACCAAAAGACCAATAGGAAGACCTTCAATGTGATGAAAAAACAGCTGGAGCTCAGTAGCATAGGGAAAGTATAATCAGGAATAACGAAGCATTATAACAAGAATGCAAGGACAGCTCTCAGTAGGAAAGCCAAGGAAAAGATGAGTACACGCAGACACTAAGCTGGAAAAGGATGGAAACGAAGAACGACGAGTGGAGGCGGGTAAGGCTGTAATGGTAAAGAAGAGAGAAAGAGTAGGATCTGGACATTGATGATACAAATTTTTTGATGGAAATAGGTATCTAGAAAAATTCTTTGAGTTGCAGTTTTTTTCTGTTCTTTGTAAATTTCTTTATAACGACAATAAGACTTCGATATATTCGACCAGTGCTTTGTCAAGGTGTTCAAACGCTTGTAAAGTATTTTCGGATGGTCTAATATCATTAATTAATTGTATTGTGTATTTGCGTTTCAAGGACTTTGCGTTTCGAGCTTTCTTGTTAGATCTTCAGTGAATAGGAAGACTTCTCATAATTTTGATGACCTCTAGGATGTTATTCTTCCTCTTCTTGTGATGTTGACTACCAATTGTTTTGCCATCGTTTAGGTGGTCGTCCTATAGGTCCTCTTCCGTGTGGTGTGTTATTCTTTTTAGAGTCTAATCTATCTCAGATTTTCATTCTGGTAAATTAAGGTTGGTTTCAGTTTCATACTACCTAAGGCGTTGGTGACAAATACAAGTGGTACTCTGTCTTGCTGCTTTATAACTTGGCGTTTAGAAAAATTCGTCTATAGGTGATATACCATTTTTTGATCGTAATGACCCCCTGAATATATGGTATAAGTTTGTCGGTTGAGTCACGGAACACTCTGTATACCTGTAATTTACTCTTATCTCTTTTTGGGAATGAACAATTAATTATGCTTCATCAACTATTATAACTTTTGCTAGATTTTCAACACATTTTGCTGCACTTTCAGTATCGGCGGCAGCTACTTTCCCTCGGACTTTGATGGTGTGTAAATTCGACCTCTTAGTTGACTCATCATCATTAGATTAGGAATCGTTGGAAAAAAGAAGACTTAGTCCATCTATGCTCTTTTACCAGCAGTATTTAAGGTTTTGCAAGTATAATCCTAGTGTTTATGATACTTGGCGTCTTCAAAGTCGGCCGAAATTACTTCTTCCATACGTCAAAGCAAGGTAATCTTAGTCTCACGTGGTTTCACAAAGGTCGTGATACTCGACCACTTGACTACATCTGAGTTTCACAAAGTCTTAGTGTTTGTGATACTTGTGCTCTAACCAATCTTTGAACTATAGAAAAATATATGGAATTACACTGGCCAAAGTCTTTTACCAGAAGTATTTAGTATTTTGCNAAGACATCATCCATAAACAAATTTAGTTTAGGTATAATGATTTTCTAGTGATAAAGAGAAAATCCCCAAAATGTCAAAACTGAGTACTTTTGATCTTAAAATCGATCATAGCTCTAATAATAATAAGCTCATTTATATTTACAATATAAAGATATTTCAGTCGTTTGATATATCAATTGATACACAATCTATTAACATAAAGTCTATTTATTAACACACATTTGGTAGAAACAATTCTATCTAACGACAGGTAATTGTCGTTATGCATTGATAGCTTAATTAATAAGGTTTTTATCCGAAAATATGTTGTGATCTCAATAAGTTTAGTGAAAATAACTTTTTATTTTGTGCGTGGGTATAAATTAAACAATTTGAGTCAAATCGCAACTTTAAAGTGATTTTTCGATAAGTACTGCACTTTTGCGAACTTTTTTTTATCATTAACGCCTTTTTTGAGTCATTTCCTAACTACGTGAGGGTTTCACAAAGGTCGTAATACTCGACCACTTGACTACATCTGAGTTTCACAAAGTCTTAGTGTTTGTGATACTTGTGCTCTAACCAATCTTTGAACTATAGAAAAATATATGGAATTACACTGGCCAAAGTCTTTTACCAGAAGTATTTAGTATTTTGCAAGCGCTTAGGGTCGAAATTATTTATTCCATCCGTTTTCAGCAAGGTAAGCTTGGTTTAACGTGGTTTCATAAAGTTCTGGTAGTTCTTCTCAGAATTTCAAATTGATGTTAAATCATTCTATTAACACTAAAGCAACATAGATATATATATTAGGATAACTAAAGTCTGTTTGATTTTTTTTTTATTAAAAGATTCTTCGTATATTCTAAGATATCGAATTTCTCTAACAAGACAAATCTGAACTCACTTCCTTATTCTCTTTGTTAGTAGAAACCCCGTCGTTGCAGTTAGACGATTCTTCAGGGACAAACTCACTGAGAGAAATCGACTTGAATTACATGGTTCAGATCAGTTCTGCTGATGTCGTATCTTTTACCAGATTGATTTTACTAGAGTTAAAAAAAAGACTTTTTATATAAAAGGAGTATTAATGAGGCAGTTTTAAAGGACAACGCGATAGCACTCAAACACTAGAATCCCTAATTTGTATGTCGTAATCCACTGGTAAATTTTCCCAGTCTACGTCGTCGTTTCCGGAGGACGAAGGTCGGAAACGAAAAGGTCAGCGGGAGATTAGGTTTTATAATGAACGTCGTAAATAGCCGCTATCGAATTCTTCCACTTCACAAAAAGCGGACAAAAATCAATATAATTTGGGAATTAAAAATCTATAAATCCTACCGATACGATCTACGATTTATGTTAATAGATTGTGTATCAATTGATATGTCAAACTACTGAAATATCTTTATATTGTAAATATAAATGAGCTTATTATTAAATGAGCTATGATCGATTTACGATGAGTCGTGACACCAAGAACCACGTAGAGGATGGTAACCATAACTAAGAGGTCGAATTTATACAACACCAAAGTGCGTAGTGAAGCAGTAGACACTAAAAGTGCAGCAAAATGCGTTCAAGACTTAGAAAAAGTTATAAGAGAGGAAATTTATACTTTTAACCAAATTTTAATTAAATTTGATGAGACATATTTATTTCAATTTTGATAAAAAGTCAGGTTATAAAGCAGCAAGACAGAGTACCACTTTTATTTGTCACCAACGCCTTAGGCAGTATAAAACTGAAACCAACCTTAATTTACCAGAGTGAAAATCCAAGATAGATTACACTCTAAAAGCAATAACCAGATAAACCGGAAGAAGACTATAGGACGACTACCTAAACGATGGCAAAACAGTTGGTAGTCAACATCACAAGAGGAAGAAAAAAAATCCTAGAGCTTTTCAAAGTTATGATAAGTCTTCCTATTCACTGAAGATCTAACAAGAAAGCACGAACAACATGATACATTACATTACATAGAATACATATCGGGTAGGCGGACAAGTTGAGGTGTGCTTTTAATCGGCAGTGCCCAGTAAAAACACCCATTAGAACTTTTATGCTACTACGGGCAAGTCCTAAAATATTCCCGGGTCTGACAGTGGCGATGTTAATAAACACCTTAGCATGTCTCATTCTAGGAGAACTGGTCCACAGTAGGCGAAGTCTCTCTTCAGCCCACAGTCCAATCCTATATTTGGCCATCGCAAATGATACACCAACTGCTGGTTCCGGCCCCACAAACGCTTTAGCGCTGCCATCTCGTGCTAGCTTATCTGCCGCTTCATTGCCAGCAACCCCAGAGTGACCCGGGACCCAGATCAGAGAGACTCTGTTATCACAACTCAGTGTGTTTAATGTTCTCTTACAATCATTAACCAGAGCCGACACCGTTTTCACGGCTTGCAGCGCCTGGAGAGCGGCTTGACTGTCTGAGAAAATTCGTACTGTCATGTTCTTCACCCCTCTTTCAAGAAGGATTTTAGCACCCATGTCAATAGCAAATACTTCCGCCTGGAATACAGTACAGTACGTACCC